CAGTGAGGGAGACTCCATGCCCTCTCTGGGCTCAGTCACTCCCACAGGAAAGAAGTTCTTCCTCATATTTAGGTGGAACTTCTGTGCATCAGTTCCTGCCCATTGTCTCTTATCCCATTGCTCGGCACCACTGAGCAGAGCCCAGTCCATCTTCTAATCCCTCCCTGCAGTCACTGACAAACATGGATGAGGTCACCTCTCAGTTGTCTCTGCTCGAGGTTGAACAGCCCTAGCTCCCTTAGCCTTTCCTTGTAAGGGAGATGCTCCAGTTCCTTCATCATCTCCCAAGCCTCCGTAGAACCTGCTCCAGGAGCTCCCTGTCTTTCCTGTCCTGAGGAGCCCAGAACTGGACACAGCACTGCAGACGCACCTTACCAGTGCTGAGCAGAGGGTCAGGATCACCTCTCTGACCTGCTGGCAATGCTCTTCATTGTGCACCCCAGGATACCATCGGCCTCCTTAATACACTGGCCTCCCCAGGATACACTGCTGGCTCAGGGACAGCTTGTTGTCTATGAGGATCCAGTGATGGACTGAAGTGTTGTTAATGTCTTAAGCATTGTCAAAATCATAGGAAGACTTTCTGTCAAGCTGCAAGGAAGCAAATGCCTATTGGTGACCAGGGAAGCCTGACTGGAATTTGAACTGTGAAGGGGGACTTGAGATAAGACTATTGTCTGATCGTCTCAGATGTGAGGAGAAGTAAACAAGGCTCAGGAAAGAAGAATATCTGTGTTAAGAATCCTCCCTAGCTGAGCTCAGTGAGTGGTGGGGGAGAAGACTTTTGTGGGTGTGATGGTGAAATCTCCCCACACCAAAGTAAACCTCACCCCTCCAGGAAGACCATGTATGCATGGGACATTCATGTAGGAGGCAGCTGAGAAGGGGTCACAAACCATCAAAGACCCCCAGAGCATCCCCCCCCAACTCGTTTCTGAGGCCTTCCACTGCCAGAGGACTGCACATGATCCAAGTGAGGTAACAAATCTAGAGCCTGTTGCAAGTGACTGCAAAGCTTTCCCTGCCCTGGGGAGCTGCCTGGCATCTCCTGAATGTATATTAATCCACTGGACTCTGTTTTGTGGGACCCTCACCATGGAGAAGACCAGAAGAACCAGACCAACAGGACACTGCTGGTGATACATTTCCTGTTTTAATCTCTGTCACTTTCTTTCTCCCTTCTCCCCGCACTTTTTCCTATTTCTTTCTATCTCCCTTTCTTTGCCTCGCATTTACCATTAAATAAACCCCATACTATTGACTTTGGTATCTAGTCTTGTTTTCACCTTAATTCAGGCAGGAGCATTTCTAGTAATTTTAATAACTGGATAATACCATATCCCCAGGTTCTTCTCTGCAGAGCTGCTTTCCAGCAGGTCATTCAATTAAAATAAATGAGATAAATTATCCCTTTGTGCGTATAGTGTTGCAGGAGACAACTGAGGGTGGGATGTTGTACACCACGACTGAAAGAGCTACAATTGTTATTAAAAGGAGCTTGGGGGATGTGCCTCTGTTGTCTCATGCTATAGAACTCTGTATTTCTTTTGAAACTGTAACTCTTGTGTTATGAGACAGTTACAGAAGGTGTTGTAACATGTCTACTAACAAGTTCACATGGATTGAGGCCTATTCAAAAGCAGAATTTCAAAATAGTCATACAAATTTGGCAGGCTTTTCAAGACTCCTGTTATAAATGTTCAAAGTGGATTATTTTTGTCAAAGAATACTCAGAGATAGTCCTTCAAACAAAGTCTGATAGAATTTCAAACAAAGCAAAGGGATTATGGTTTGTGATATGGAGCATTGCTGATTTACACCAACATTAATTTTAATTTGGAAAACCTGAGCAACAGGCTGTGTTTATCAATGTTTGGGTTTAACTTTGTTTAAATGTCCATTAAATTGCTGCATGACCTCTATTCATGTTTTTAGTTCTGCAAATTAGACTTTAGAGTACTGCAAACAATAAATTAAATTAGATTTTTAATGTAATGCACAGACTGTTTTTTATAATAAATTATGACCAAATAAACTAATCTGCCCATGGATGAGTGAATCTTTGCAAATTCTTGTTGGTGCCCAGTATGTTAAAAGTAGTAGTATGTGATAGACATCTAAAATTTGTTCTGGAATTGTTATTCTGTATTTTCTTGCCATTTTCTTCCATTGATTCTTTTGGATGTAAGCAATCTTCAGTTACTAGTATGTGTTTGGAATAATTGTAAGCTTTATGGGTTTAATGCTAAGCGTGACTTGCCACTTGCAATGCACATAGACTCTTAAATTATTCTGTATAACTTGCTATATGGGAGATCATTTAATGTCATTAAAGTCACTTAGTGATTTTTTTCTCCTATTTGAAAAGCTGCCAGTTGAATTGGTTTTATTCCTTTCTCTCTTTTAGTTGTGTCCCTTTTCATAATTATTGCAATATTTTACCTTATTTCAATTAATAAACTGTTCTTCTTTCAACCCACAGGTTTTACGTTTTTCCGATTCTCCTCCCCGTCCCACTGGGGGAGGAAGTGAGCAAGTGGCTGTGTGGTACTTTGTTTCCAGCTGGGGTTGAATCAGGACAAAGCTGTAAAGCATTCTCTACATCTCCTCTGTGGCACCAGATAGTATGTTTTTACTGTCATCTTCTGAATAAATTTGCTTGGGAATCATTGTCCTCTGATAATGAGCTGAATAGAGAGGCTCTTCCCCACTGACTCTGCTGCAGAGCAGGTGTTTTCCCAGTCATCCTGTTATTGGTGTGCAGGGACTATGAACAGGGAAGCTGTAAAAAGCTATCCCTATGAGTTTGGTGTTGACACTGGATTCCAGGGTTCCTGCCTCATGATCTACTTATGTAGGTGTGCAAGCATATGCCCCCTCCCCCCCCCAACCCCTCTACCCCTGCTTCCTAACCTCCTTCTGCTCTTGGAAAGCAGCAAAATCAGCTCTGCACCACGATGGAGACACACTCCCTCTGGATTATGTTTGCTTCCTGAACAGTAACAGCTCTAAAGCAACTTAGTCCTTCTGAGATCCAGGACCTAAATGTTGCACTTGTATAGGTGGAAATGTTTCTGCTTGCTTTGTTGGGTCAATATTTGTGTCTCTTTTGACATGAAACATGAAGTGGTACTTTGGTAGAGGGACTGAACTCCGTTGGTCAGGCAGAACTCAATTTTACTCTGCATTTTAGGGTTTTATCCTGGAATAGAGCAATAGAAACAAAGATCATTGAAACTGTAGCTAAGAGATATTGCTTATTCTTTGTATTGGTGTGGGTGTGCTTTAGGTGTAAAGATACAAAGTGTAACCTTACTTTCAAAGGAATCCACAGATTCAAACTGTGGCTATTCCTGACAGCACAATAAACATGAAACTGCATCCCTATAGAGATTCCAGTTCTGGGATTGGACAATTAAGCCAGTGTTCCTTGGTCTCAAATCAAACATCTTCTGCATAGCAAAACCTGACGTGCAATACATCATCTTAAGCACATTCTAGGCATGCACAGAGCTGAAAGAGACACAGTTGTGGAGCCTCCATGGAAGCTACAAATGCTTCTCCATGAAGATCATGTCCCCTTTTCCTTCAGGTCATGGCTGATATAAAACAAGGCAGGCAGTTTAAGTCTGACATGCTGGGTAGACCAGGAGCTCTGTATTGAGGCTATGACTCTGACTTCACATTATGTCCTGGTCTTTGTGGTTGAACAGATCACTGCTCTATGCTGTAGGTTTTTCATCTGTTGTTATTTTATCCTTAGGAGATTGCTTTGATATCAACGGAGCAATAGCATTGCTATGTAAACATGGAGTATTTATTATATGGCAATTTTTCTGTTGCTGTCTATAGTATAGGCTGGTTAATAGAGGTATGATGTCTATTCTAGGTTACTCATGTAAAGGGAACAACTAGTTTTGCCTGTTAAGGGTCACTGTAGCTTTACAGTGCTGGGTGGCACAAGGAGCATGTACCATTATGTTCTGAAGAATATATATCTGTTATCTAGATAAGAAACAGCTTTCTAGTCCTTCAAAGGTCTATATTGTTTCAGAAGGGCTGAATATGTGTCAGCCATAAACAGGAAAAAAAAAAAAGATAAAAAGAGAGTGTTGCTGTTTTAAAAGTCCTTGGGTTCTGAAATAGGGGAGAAAGCACTGTTTGAAGGGCAAGAAGAATGCCAGACATTCAGACCCTACTAGAGGCAGAAAAGTTTGCCCATTTCCTTTACTGGTCACCAGCCTCACTGTAAATAGTAGTTGAATGAATTATTACACCCTAGTCTCTCCAATTCCATTTTTCAGGAGTTAGAATTGGAAGTGTATCAACTTATTTGCTTTTTTACAGTTGGGGTTAAAGGAAACTCATAGAAGTGTTGGTTGAAGGGACCTCTTAAGGTCATGCAGTGCAGTCTCCTGTCACAGTAGCACTGATGACACTCCTGGATCTGGCCATTGCTGGCTTTTTTTAGCCAAGTCTTGAAAGCTTCCAGGGATAAGGATTCCAGCACCTCTCTGTGTAGGTCACTCTAGTATTGCACTACTCTCCTAGTGTTAAGTTCAGGCACTTAATAAAAGACATTATAGTGCAAAACATTAAAAAGTGTTATGATTGTCCTGTGAAAGGACATGATTAATGACAAATAAATTAACCAGATTCAATTTTCTAACACAATCAAAGTCAGTATTTCCTAATCACATATTTCCATTTTTCCATGCATATATGTATACATGCACACACAGTTGATGTGTTCTGTTTTCTGCAGTGGAGACCAGTTTCTTTTTTCTCAGACTGAGTCAAGAGACAAGAAAAATCAGTTCCCAAAAGACAGAAGAATTGTAGAAGCTTCTGAAAGGAGAAAACTAAAATTACATTGTTTTACTTTTAAATGACTTATGAAAAGAATGTAAACAGCTTGGTGGGGGGGAATTGTTTTGGGTTTCTTTGGTTGGTTTGTGCTTTCTAGTGTTCAGTCACCCATTTGAGTAGATTATTCTTGTCAGTGCTTCTGGTAAGGACAGTTCCAGCAGACTGGCAGGAGATTTGCATCTCTGCTCTTAATCTTCCAACAGTTGGCTCTGCTGGAAACATACTTCCAGAAATGCTGTGCTGGACTTCAGGTTGTTGTTTCCCACTGTATTTATTTATTTCTGATGCATGTTAAGTGAATGTTGGCTTTACATTAGTGTAATTGGCAACACAAATGTTATTTATATTCTTACCTCCACATTGTAACTCTTCAGGCAGGTCACTCTCCATGAATTTTAAACAATGCTGGCTGATTGTTGCTGGCCCACGTGCTTGTCTCTGTGGATGAATATAAGGTAGCCAGGGAGAGGACTCTGCTATATTCTAATTAATTCTGTCTGCAGGAGATGGATCTTTTTCTAGCTGATGCTGAAAGGTGAGGCTTGTTCCACAACAGACACAGATATATAAGTGCTTTTTCAGTGTGTGAACCACAGAGCTCCTTCTGGCCATTAAGCCACCCATACAACCGTATGACAGTGCTCATAGGTGCTTTCATTTTTTAAAAAGTAATTTTGATCTGTTTTTTATAGATACTAGAAAATGCTTCATGTCCTGAAAAGCATGCTGGAGGAATGTGTAAGCTTGAGAAAGGGCTTTTGACAAGGAAAAATTAAGTACGTTTTAAATGTTTAGGGAAGTTATTAAGGTTTGGTAACTGTGTTTTGTGAAGGAAAAATGAAGATTTTTGTGTTCAAGATAAGGGAAGCAAAATTATTGTTTGTCTCTCTCTGTATTAAAGAAGGGTAGGGGAGAGAGGAATGTTCGATTGGTTCTCACTGGCAGGGTGCCAACAGCAAGAGGAAAGTCCCTGAAGGGACTTGGAGGAGGTGAAACGAATTCAGTTCCATTCACTGACTTCAGTAAAGAGAAACTGAATTGTTTTTGCAAGTGAAGTTGAGGTTTTAGGCATGAAGAGGATAACGCAGTAGCTTCACACCATCCATGCTCCCCTTCTTTACTTCATTAAGGAGCTTTTGAAAAATTTTCCATCTTGAAAATTGCAAGATGGTCCTTACCTCAGGAAGTTCAGCATATAATGGATATGTTTGTTTCTCTGTACAATATATATATGAGGAAGATATATCCCCATATATGTTATTTCTTAATGGTATATTCAGAAGTAAACCTCTGGTGAATTATTCAGATCTGGCAGGAAAGCTCGATTATTTCTGATGTGTTGCATACTATTGCGAGATGGTTTAAGGAGGAAGGAAAGTGGTTAATTGCATTTCCTATAGAATATTCCCCACAAAGCCTGAGTTTTTCCTCAAGAGATTCTTGAGCTCAGTAGTCTGAGGAAAATAAAATAGTGAAACAGTTTTACTTGTATGTGTTGAGGAGCCAGTCTCCTCATAGTCCCTTTCAAAGTGACTAATTATGGTGTTTTATAGAAATATTCCCAGGGGGAAAAGGGGGACAGTATAGGGAAGACTTCAGAGATTTTGTTTGTTTGTTTGATTTCTTTTTTTACATAGTAAGATGACTCTCAGCAGACTGTTCCTGAATTGTAGTCACAGTTTCTTATCCCAGCATCTGGAGAAGCTGTACCAGTGAAAGGATCTTCTGGTCTCTGTGAAGGAAAAAAGTCAGTGCTACTAGTTTTGTTGATGCTGAGAAACTCACTGTGAAGTTGAAAAACGTAATTTTCATCGATGTGATAAATAATGCCCAGCGAAAGTGTATATTAATAAATGTTCCATTTAGTATGGAACTGAGTGTCTTTGTATGGCTTTGTATATATGTGATGTTAGAAGGATATGATCATGATTTTATTTTCACATGCATATTAATCAAGGATGTAGTAATTCTTTGCCTGTTTTTTTTTTTTCTCATGGTATCCTATTTTTCATATTTAAGTTTCTTTCAAAGCACAGTATGCAGGATAAGAAGCAACTATTAAGTGTATGAATTAGTGATTGCAAGTCAGTGAGCATAGCTAACATTGCTGTACAGTGTATTTACTAATTTGCCAGTAGTGACTTATCTCTTATTTTTCATGCTCTTGATTATTGATTACTTACTGTATTTTCATTTCTGCCCCATTTTTAGAGAGATATGTAAAACCTGTGACAATGCACTCGTTTCTGGAGTGGTTTTATATACACTGCTCAATCTGCTGCCTATGGGACTGATCCAGGCCTGCTGGTTCACCCAGCTGTACTGATGCAGAATACACTTGAGTTTGCTTTTCAGTTCAGAACCTCTTTAGGTTTTCCTTCAAGCAAACAGTACTTTATGGTGGATGTAGGAGCTGGATTCAAGTCCGTGTTTTTTTCTGAGTCATGAAATCATGTTGTAATTAATAGGTACAATGCTCATCTAGTTCACATCTTGCAGACAAGCTGTAAAAACTAAAGTCCTGGCCAGTAATTCCCTAAAAATAGCCAGGGTTCTAGCCATAGCTATACATGTGCCAGCTGATTTCTTTGCATTCCATCTGCCTATAGATTACCCTGTAATATCCTGCAATTCTTGACTGGATTTTGTATTACCTTGTTTTTTCCTCCTGTGACACTGGGTAATGTTTCTGTCCTTTTTACTCTGCTGAATTCTTATAATACAACACCCTACTCCATCCAGGTGAGACCCCCCTGCAGAGCTGCCTCCAGCTCTGGGGGCCCAGCACAGGAAGGACATGGAGCTGTTGGAGCAAGTCCAGGGGAGGCACCAAGAGGATCCGAGGGATGGAGCAGCTCTGCTTTGAGGAAAGGTGAGAGAATTAGGCTTGTTGAGCCTGGAGAAGAGAAGGCTTTGGGGTGGCCTAATTGTGGCCTTCCAGTAACTGAAGGAGACTGCAAAAAAGATGGAGAGAGACTGTTTCCAGGGGCCTGGAGTGACAGGACAAGAGGAATGGCTTCAAACTGACAGAGGGCAGGGTTAGATGGGATATTGGGAAGAAATTCTTCCCTGTGAGGGTGGGCAGGCCCTGGCACAGGTTGCCCAGAGAAGCTGTGGCTGCCCCATCCCTGGCAGTTCCAAGGCCAGGTGGGACAGGACTTGGAGCAACCTGGGCTGGTGGAAGGTGTCCCTGCCCATGGCAGAGGGTGCAGTGAGATGAGCTTTAAGGCCCCTTCAAACCAAAACCATTCTGTGATTCCACTGAGTGGGTATGAAAGCATTCATATTGAGTTCCCATGCTGTGAAGATATTACAAGTTTTACCTATATAATAGTTTGCCTTTAAGTCTTTTCTGCTTGAGGCAGAGATTCTGTCCTTGCTTACCCCTCAACACACACATGCACTTGTGTGCACACAAATAGTTCTCTATCCTACCAGTTTACTGCTCCAACTTCAGCTGTGGTAGAAGCAGAAACTTAAGAAGACAAGTTTTCTGGTTTTAAAGTCTGATTTAGACTTTAGGAGGACAAAAATATCTGCCTTTAAAATTTAAATCTGACTCTTCATTTCAGAAAGATTGTGACAACACTGTTTAAAGAGTGATTTTGATATTGTTTCTGTTGCATAAAGCAAAGAAGGCTCTTGGAAAATGCCATTAAATGCGAAGTAAGCTTCAAAGCATGTTTTAATAATCCCTGTATTTTTAAGAGACTGGGAACATCATGAAATGCTAAGACTTAGCATTTGGGAAATGCTGTTGGGACATTCTTGCTTGAGGTTTTCTTTTGTTGTGCACAATACTGTGTCAATACTCATTTTTCTAGATGTGCTTGTCTTTTCTCTCAGAAAATCAGGAAAATTGTAATTATGGTTGCTACATTTTGAAAATCATAACATGCTGAAATTGCTTCACTTACAAGAATCGGAACCTTTGCTGTTTTTAATTTATCTGAAATGTGGAGAGAATGTTATTCTATGACAGAATGCAGTTTTCTTTGCTTGGTGAATGAGTGTTAGTGTGACTGGTTTTTAGTGCAGGGAATGTTATTTTTTTCTTCTTGGCAATTTGTTTGCCAACAAGCCTTAAAGATATGTCATCCAGATGACTCAGCTAAGATCAGGCTGCCTTTCTTGTAAATGCTTATATATGCTTCCAGCTCTTATATTTGACTGGAGAAAGAGCAGGAAATCCTTTTCCTTGTTACTTAGAAAATACTGGATTTGTTTGCAAAGAAGTTCAAATTAAAATTTCATTGGACTTACCAGAATAACTCTAATTTTTTTTTTTGCTGGATTTTCTTAAAAAAAGCTCACAGATATTTTCACTGAAAAAGTGAAATCTGTTCACACTAAGAATTAAGGTTAAAGCCAAAATGCCTTCCTAACAAACCCAACAATTTTTGTGAGGAAGATTATTTATTTAATACAATCTCTAAATTACACAGTTGCCAGAAAAGATGCTATAGCTGCAGCAGGACTTAAGTGAATCACTCTGAATTTTGAAACACTCTGTAGTTTTAAAAGTGTGATTAATGCAGGGTGTAAACCTTGAACCGCTTAAATTGTGATCTATTTTTCCTTGTTATGGTTTTTGCTGGTTTTTCTCTGCTGTTAGTTAAATGCATCCAACCTTTCAGATAGAAGAAAGATTGCAACTTTCTTCAGATAGAAGAAAGACTATGTGCATATTTTTGAGCACCTCTAAAGCATATGCTGGAAAGTCACAAGAGAAAATATTTGCTGGTTTGAGTAACCTTCATTATTATCTAGTAGCTACTTTTTAAAGTAAAGTCTGCTTTTGAAAGGTTTGGAGATTTGTCATGGGTTGGTTTTGTCATTAGTGAGAGTGGGGGTTTCATATCTTGTGACATGCATCAGATATGCCCTTTTTGAAAGATAAGTTATAGCACAGTTATCCACACTTTCAACAAATACAGCCTGAGATCTGGCAGCCCTGTGCTTGTGTTTAATGCTTGGTTTGCAACCCAGTACTCATTTTTCTGATTGGAATTTTGCAGAAGCTTAAAAACCCATCTCAAACATGAAGAAGCTTGGAAAGAAGTAACAGCTCTAAGAAATAAAGGACTCTTTGGCTGGAGTCCTTTGAGGTGGATCCAGCATATTTAGTGTCCCACTTATATT